GCTTGTAAAGTGTTGCCTAAAATATTTTTGGTTACACTTTTAAAGCGTAAGCCCAAATTTTTGACTTTTGGCTTCGATAATATTGACAACACTTGTATAGTGTACTCTTTAATGGCATAGGCTACACTTTATAAGCGTTGTTTACATTTTGATATAATTGGCAACAAGTATTTACATATATGGCCACACTTTTAAAGTATACTATTTTTACAATTGTAAAAACAACACATTACAAGTGTGACCTTAAATTTTTCACTAAAATAATATATTCCCTCCAACATTTTCCAGAGCCAGCTAACATTTTTATTTGGGAATAAAATAAGTCATAAAGTATAAAATTCCAGGGTTCAAATCTAAAACTTTTTGAAGAAAAAACGCTCAGCTCTCAGCTCATTGAAGAAATCCCCAATTTCATGAAGAAAGAACGCTCGGCTCATCTCTCATTGAAGCTCCAAATCTGAAAATTTTCATAAAGCAAAACTACAAATTTTTGTGAGGTATTCCTTCATCAATGCATAAACTACAAATTTTTGTCAAAGCAAATTATCGAATGGCAAAATTTCATTGTTCATCCCAAACATTCAAAACCTGATGATTTTTTGATTTTTTTCTTCAATAACAGAACAAACGCTTCAGTGAAGAAGATGATTTCTTAAATCTTCATTACATTGAAAATACTTTGTTGGAATAGAGTTTATCAAGTAAAAAAATTATTTTTAAAAGTAAAAATTTATGGTTTTTGAGTTTATTGCTTGCGGCGTGGTTACATATTTAGCTTTAGGGTTTTGATATTATTGTCTTTGTTGATGGGATTTTTTTAATTTTTGGAAGTATAGCTCGTAGTTCTATTACTTACATTAGTTGATTCTTTGCCCTGTGGGATTCATGGTTGTAACTCCAGCGTATATACAGAGATTGTTACTGGTCGTTAATGGAGGAAGTAAAGCTCAAGCATAGAGAGTATTGTTGGATGTTTGGAATGAGTGTTTTTCAGGAAGATGAGAATAAGAGTAATAAGGATGGTACTCTAGGAATTGGAGAGAACAACGGGAATGCGGTCATCAGTAATACGTGTGGGGTTCATGGCTGTAAGTCGAAGGCAATGGCGCTTACGAGGTTCTGTCATATGTATATATTGTCAGATTCCAAGCAAAAGTTGTACAAGGCTTGCAGTTTTGTCATTAAAAGGTATTTATCTTTTCTTCACATTTCATACATTTAAGTTTTAGTATTTTACACAATCTTAAGCTTTATGAAGAAATATAACTTTTTGTATGTTTGTGACTCTCAATTCGGTATGATTATCCTGCCTTAGAATATCCAACACTACATGTTTTACCCTTGCTATTAGGTTATCCTGATTCCTGAGTATAGTTACTATGCAAAATCTGCAGATAGTGGAAAAGGTTACTTCTTGTGTGGGTATGCACGCGTGAACTATCTTTTTTGAAGTGTAATTTGTGTCTCAAAGATGCGTCCTTTCTGAATTGTTTCTGAAGCAGAATGTATATGCTCGCGCCCAATTTGTTTTATTGTTTGGTATAAAGCTGGTTATTTTGCTAACGTATGACAAAAAGATATCATATTTTTTCCTCAAACGGAACTTTGCCAATTAGTTTCAAGTTCTTGTTGTTCTTTTTTATTTTTCCTATTTTATAAAGGTTGTTAGTTTTTCTAGAGTCTTTTGTGAGGATTTTCTGATACATTTTACCCTTGTGCAACGATTGTTCTTGCACCTAGCAAGCAGAACATATGTGTGTGAGAGAATATGGTTCTGGAGGGCTATAAGCTAAAGTAAAAGCAGGTGTATATCATTTTAATGTTTTATGATCATTGGACTTCACTTCCCCAGCAACTACGCTTTTGAATTGTACCCTGCAATTGTTAACTTTCTAACGTCATGGTATAGTTCGTGTGGGATCTAGTTCTGATTCTTACAGTTTATCTTTTCCTGCTCTTCAGAGTTACGTGACTACCTTCTTGTTATTCATTGTTCCAGCCCATTTACGCTTTAACATTCCCCAAGATATTAACCATCAATATTTCCGCCAAATTCAACGCCTAAATCTGGCTTTGTATTGAATCCTAAAAGGTGTTGTAAATCCATGTGCTTTGTAGTAAGTAAAGAACAAACTTCCAACTGTGGTGATTGTTATTTTTTGTTAATTAAGAAATCTGTTGTTTCCAGCTCCAAAACATTGTGGATAATGGCTCTTCATCTGTCCTCCTCCGCTTAAATGCAAAACTTTATTAACCAGCCAACATTTGAATTCGCCACATACATCGAAGAGATATTCTACTTTGTGCTACTTCTGTTGTTGAACCAAAAACCCACTAGAACCTTCTTTGTTTCGTGTACTACCATTTATTCAAAAAAATGAACTTTCTCCCAGTGAGAAGGCACTTGACTTTCCAATTAAGAACAATTACCAGTTCATATCCATTAATCATCACAATAGTTATAACTTTGTGGATGCACCTTTTTCTCAAAATAAAAATTGTACATATGTACCTAAAACATCTTATCTTATCCTCCCTCTACTTCCTTCCACTTCTTCATTCAAGCTAGATTTTAGGTTTTTCAACTCATTTTTTCCAATTCCTCTGCTCTTTGGGGGTAGAAACTGGTTTACCAGGCCCCTTCTTATCTAGTTGTGATTTTCTCCGATCATTCTTCATCAACATTTCTATGGTTTATTTTTCAAACCCTTCGAAAGCCACCCTGTGTGTATTACTTAACTATAATAACCATGTTTAATGCTTCTGTCTTGATATCTTCTTGAGAAATTGGAAGCTGAATATTGACTGGTTCAGCCTCATGAATCTGTTGTAACTGCATTTTTTGTTCTGTCTTGTGTGTCATTAACTATTATGGTATCAGATTCCTCTCCTCAACATTTCTCGGGCTGACATTTAGTTCTTTTAAGGAAAAAGGAATTTGGTGCAGGTCATTTCCTACATGATTTGTTTATTATATGTGTTTTCAAGGCTGTTCAGACGGAATTAATGTTTTCTCCATTTGTTGATTGGTTGTATAGGGAGAAGGATGATTACGACGTGGTAAGGAAAGTTGGGAGAAGAAAGTATAGCGAGGTGTTTGAGGGAATTCACACTACTAATAATGAAAATGCATTATCAAAATCCTTAAGCTAGTGAAGAAAAAAAAAGTTGGTTGGTTTCCTTCTTTGCTTCTTTATATGTCTGTATCCAATGCTAGTTAATAAGCTTCTATCTGTTCTTGAAATTGATGCTTTTCAGAAATTTAAGGTTTTTCATTGTGAGGTCCTGACTTTCTATTGTTGGACGACTTCTATTGCAGTTTGAGGGATAAGAACAGTTCATTTGCTTGTGCGTTATATGAGTGTAAACTATAGTAGACTCATTTTTTGGTAAATAATGAAATATAGTACTCACTTAAGATGTTGGAATCAGCTTATATTAGAAAGAAAGACATGATTGAGATTTTAAAGATGTGGTCTACCACTCAAACTTGGAAACCAAACAGTAGGTGCACTGGAATGATTAGAAATAAATTTTGAGGATTATTTTTCTACATGCATGTAGATCTTTTAGTTGCTTCTCAAAGCTGTAGTCCTTTCCCTAAGTTAGCTTTCGTGAACTTACTGCAGACTTAACTTTTTTTCCTTGTAGTTGCGCGAACTAACTAGGTAATATCTTCTTAGAGACATCCCCTTTTACTCGACATGATTTACATCATCCACCACTTTCATCTAGAAGTATTATCATCACTCAGTCACATGTTTTTGCTAAGATTTGGAGAGGCACCCTCTTTTAGTCTTTTACACCGTAATAGATGTTGAATACAAGTAGTTAAAGGATTAATCTTTTCTCGTGTTGTATTTTGGTTTACAGGTTTTAGTTTTTGTTATGTTCCATATGTGAAGTAAGTTTGGCTTAATATAGAAAGTGTAGGAGACAACAATTTATTTTCTTCGTTATTTGGTTTCTGTGATAGTGGGAGGTAGGAGATACCCTGGAATTATCAAGGTGCACACAAACTAGCCTCAGTACCGTTGTAAAAAAGAAGAAGAAATTGATCCAACTAGATAAGAGAAGCATCAAAAATCTTAACAAAAACTCGTAAAACCTCATTTTCTAAGATGAACAAAACCAGAACTAACAACAATATCAGTCGATGATATTCTAATTGGACATTAATATACCACAACACACAACTACACCTCAATCCTAAACAAGTTGGGGTTGACTATAGGAACTCCAAGACCTTATAAATCTTTCAAGAGAACTTCCTTCAATGTTATTTTAGGTCTCCACTCACCATGATTTCACACCCAGGGACTGGCGCCTCTTGAGGTTGACGACATGCCCAAACAATCTCAAGCGACCTCTCATTTTAACCTCAATGTGTGCTACTTGCACATTCTGGAGCTTAATTTACCACATTTTGTAGTAATGTTGCAGTATCCTTGATGTCATGTTACTAAATGCATAAATATTTTTTTGTTTTTTTTCTACCAAACTTGTTAAACGTATAGAAGCCTTGTTGATGTTCTTCAAATTGGGAAGTCATTGTGTCTATGATCCTAAGTAGTTTCTTATAATGTTCAAGTTTTTAAAAGGGTTTGTGATTTCGTAGTGCTATGTTTCTGAGCGACGTAATGTATTATTTATATTCTTCAAGCTCAATCAGATATCTCCACGGTTCGACTTTCTTTATCTTTCATTCTTTAGCCAAATGAGGTTTTTCATGTGTATCTCTTAACTTTTATGTTGTGTTAAGTTAGTGTAGTAACTCTTTATTACTTATAAGTGATAGACCATCATATATATGCAAGTTATATGTGCATTTACCTTTTTGTTGGCACTTTGAATCATTCTCTTTTATTTAATATAGTATATATTTGCACATTTATTTAACTCTGGTACTTATCTGTTATTGTCGCTTACAGCAGATCAAGCGTGAGATTAAGATACTGCAGAATCTTTGTGGTGGACCTAATATTTTAAAGTTACTCGATATTGTCAGAGATAAGCAGTCGAAGACCCCAAGTCTTATATTTGAATATGTGAATAACACAGATTTTAAAGTGCTTTATCTAACTCTTTCTGACTTTGACGTTAGATATTACATCTATGAGATTTTAAAGTGATATTATTATACTATATTTTTCCATTCACATGTGAATCAATGGAACAGTGTTTATGGTAACAAAGGGAGCACAGATCAACATGCGTAAGTTTAAATTGTACTTTTCTCTCTTCTGGAACCTCTCAACTGTATTTTTCTCAACGTTGTCTAGTTGTTCTTGTTGGCTGTTGGTTTGATCCTGCACAACAAGATCATTATAGTTGTTGATTTGTGTGTGTAGTTGTGGCTCCAACCGTCAATCCTTGCTTGGTAGTGATAATAGGAGTCGCAAGGTCAATAGGGATATCATTTTTAGCCTGATTTTGTCTTAGTCGAGCAGCAAACGATTGGATAATAGTGTAGGGAGCTGGTTCAGGGACTATGTCCTTATTAGCCTTTTTCTGGGGATTTGGAGTAGTTTGATCAATGCGAGTAGGCACCTGAATCATCATGTTTCTATCGTTTTATAAATTTGGAACATATTTACCAAAGTTGTTAAAGTGTCTTTGGATTTTTATCCTGTTGCACCTGTTCTTTGGCCTGAAGTGTACTTGGAGTTGGCATTGATCTTGTGTGATTGTGACTATGTTTTGCGAGAATTAGGTGTGTCATCTTCCCCTATTTCCACCTTGAGAATTGGAGTTCAGGCAGTATCGGAAGGCTTAAACATGATCATTGCTTGCATTCAAAGTCAACTTTAAAGAGAATTTGACTCTGTTTTGCGAGAATTAGGTGTGTTATTTGCGAGAATACAAGCACTGATCGAGTTTAAACCTTTGTAAGAGCTTATTTTGTTTATGAGGAATCAGAAGATGAAAACATGAATGGTTCTTAGCTCTTATATATAAGTACTATATTGACTTAGAATGCATGAATGGTTCTTAGCTCAAGATATGTTATGTGTCTGAATTGATTATATATATATGTGTGTGTGTGTGTTTGTTTATATGCATGTGTGTGTATATATCTGAATTTTGTAGAGTACAAAATTTTGAAAGTTTTTTCGCTGTTAAATTTTAATTTGTAATGTGATAGTAAAAGGATATATGTGATTTCCATGTTTTAGTCCTTAGAATATGCGATTTCCATGTTTTAGTCAAAACTGAAAGCACATCCATGTGATTTCCATGTTTTAGTCCTTAGAATATGTGATTTCCATTCGTTCACTGACCTGCAACTAGGTGGGAGCTTGTAATCCTGAGAACGGATGGATGGATCAAACATCAATTTATTAGTTGAATACACTGAATCTGCAATCTGCTAGAATAGACAGTGCTGCCTTAACTCAAAATTAATCTATACACAGTGCTGCAATCTGAACTCAAAAAATCTGCAATCTACTAGAATACACTGTGCTGCCTGAACTCAAAAAATCTGCAATTTGCACTCTTGAACTGCATGCTACAATCTAATTTATTGATCTATAACTGCTGCAATCTGATTTGTGTAGGGAAATTGAAGTGATCAAATTTGAAGGGTCGCCGCAAGTCAATTTGATCACATTGAAGTGGATGATGTAGAGTTTTTGAACTATTCTAAAAGTTTGAATACATTATATTTGATTTTGTGAAATATATTCATTGCTATAATATATTGAACTATTGTAAGAGTACTTTTTGAACTATTGTGTACACATATTTAGAATATTGCTTTATAAGTATGTGTATGTACACAAGACATACTATCTTTTGAAGTTCATTGCAAATCTATATATTTGAATTACTTATTAGCTAATTTAATGCTTGAGATTATTTATTGCAAAATAATATTGGTGTTTTTTAATTAGAAATTATGGCATATAAATATTCTATAGCCAAAATAATATTACCACACTTAAAAATGTAGCTATAGGACTGTAAATTGTGGTACGGACATGGGCAAGGACTACACTTTAAAGTGTTGTCATACATTTGATAGAAAAGGCAACACTTTAAAATCGTAGCCAATAAGGAAGCAAAGGCCACGCTTGAAAGTGTAGTTATATGAGATAGAAATGTTGCTATATGAGGTACATCAAAGCGTGGCCTTTTTTGTCGTTTAGGCTACGCTTTTAAGCGTAGCTGATTCAAGTGTTGCCTAAACTCTAAGGTTACGCTTCTTTCGGCCACCCTTGGAAAAGCGTGGCCTTTTTATCAAAGGCAACACTTTTTCATAGTTTAGGCCACACTTTACGAGGGTGGTTGCAGACATAAAATGTTGTAGTGAATATATGAGCTATTATGACGATATGTTGGTTTGAGTGCCTAGTGCATTCTCTTATGACCATGAACTTAAGTAAAGACTTAATATGACTTTTAAAGGGAATTATGCTTAGCACCAAGAGGGTATGAAAGTGAGATGAAAGCTTTTACGTTAGAAAGTCCGGCTTCCTATTGTATGTTATCTCATGAGATGGAAACCTTCTACGTTAGAAAGTCCGGGTTTCTAGTAGCAATCTCCTTACCCCATAACTATGTGCCCACATAGGTATATAGCTAGTGGATCCACCTATAAGCTATTATGTTAGTTCTACCTTTGGCAAGTAGGACACCTCTTTCGGTGTGGGGGAAAGACACCGAATTCCATGTAGCTTACATGGTCTATGTCGGTTAAGGCTAAATCTCCCTAAATGATAAGAATATGAATTATGATAATAACATGGGCATGTTCTATGGTTCCTCAAGAGGTTCTACTTAGTATGAATGGGGGTATGGGACTTCATTAGTACATTGCACAAGTAGGCTTTGAGAGTGGGCATGGTATGTCTCTTTTATGATATGATGATTATGAGTTGAATGTATGCTTTGTATGAATTATGAATATGAATATGGACTATGCTTATGACTTCTTAATGAGATTTACTTAGTGTGAGTGGGGGTATGGGACTTCACTTATACATTGCACAAATAGACCTTTGAAGGGGATATGGTGTGGGTTCTCTTATGTTATGATGACTTATGAATTATGTATGAAAGGTAACTATGGATGTTAAGGTTGACTTCACTTGTTACAAGGTATGAACATGAATGTCTTCTTACTTATGTATGTTGGTTATGAATAAGGTAAAGTAAGATATGTATGTTGATGGTGACCTAAGAGTGGTACTTAGTGTAGATAGGATTATGGGATCCTACCTATGCATTGCACAAGTATAGCTTAGGGTTGCTTATGTGGTAGTTCTATTAAGATGAGATGATCTTGGTATGTGACTATGTGTTTGAACTATGTCTTGTGAAGATTGGGATATGTACTATGCTCATGTTGGAGACTATGTTTGTAATATGATGATATTTCTTATGCTATGATGAATTGTATGTGAGTTGCTTTATAAGATGCATTCTCTAACTATCTCAAGGATGATGTTCAAAATGGCATATAGCATGGTTTCAAATGAAATGTCCCTTTTATGCATGTTTTAATGGTTTTATTGCATGGCTTCCATACTTAGTACTTTTTGTGCTAACTCCATCTTTCTACATTTTCTATAAGTGTAGGCTTTGGAGATGTTGGATTCCATCCTCATAACTAGGATCATGGTAGATCAAGAAGAAGAAGATTGGTGAGTCCTCATTGTATTTGAGGGCTTGACCATATGTCCTTTATGCCTTTCTTTTATGTTTTAGACTTTTGTAAGGGCCATGTCCCTAAGATGTATTCAAGAGTTTTATTCTAAGTAATTAGATGATTTGAGACATAGTGTATAGACTTTATCATTTTTTATAAAAAACTTCGATTGTAAAAAAAAGTTTTAAATTCCACTCTATTTTCCTATGATCTTATGACTATGATTATGCTAAGGGGTTGTATGAGACCCCTTCGGGGCCGAGTACGCCATATTACGTCTAGGGGGTACTCCCGGATCGTGATAATTAGTATGTATCATGCATGGTACCCGAGCTGACCAAGAAATATCATGTATCAGCCGTGATATTTGAGTCAACCAACAATCATACATCTATAATCATAATAAATACAAATCACATTTGTACACCAAGTAAGCACATTATCGCATGTAATTAATAACAATATGACATGTCAGATTATATTTCTGTCATTTTCCCTAGCCATATGTTATATAGGTGAAACTAATGCACCAATTAATAAGCACATATTACATAAATGGTAACCAAATAATAATCACCCTCCTCGAATCGAGCCTGAAATGCTCTATTGAACTTGAGCCTCTCATAAGTCAGGCATGTAAGCCATGTATCTGGGAGGAACAATAATAAAAGAAGGGCTTTTGATTTTGATCTTACAACTATTTTTCAAATATATATATATATATATATATATATATATAAAAGAATAAAAAAATTTAGAAGAAAGATTATATGTATGTCCAATCTCTAGTGGTCCCTTGTTATAATACCAAACTTGTTCTTGGTCTACAATTAATTAACATAACACATAATCAGACCTAAATGGCCTAAATATATCTGGATTATGAATCTCAGACTAATTTCATGATAATTCTATGCAAACCAAAAAATTTCCTTTATACCAACTCGAATCCTCCCCTAAAGTGATCACCATAGATTCTAAGACTTAAAAATCAAATTTCTAACTTGGGGGAGTAATTTACTGAACTTTACCAATGATTTCGATGGAAAACGAATGAAAATTGCTCTAGGTCGCCTCTACACTTCCCCAAAACATTCTTGGTTGATTATGAGCTATCTTGAAAAGTTTTCTGCATTTTTTACGACTTACCCCACCATAGCAGTTCAATCTTGCTATAGCGGCGGGTTGTTGCAGAAGCTATCACTATAACGGAAATTAATTTAAGCCGCTTGCGATACATCTCCCACTATAACGACTTGCACTAGACAAAACCTTAGAAATCACAACACCAAACCTTAATAGTCCAAACAAATCCTTTCACGGCAAGTCGTTAAAAATATTTAAGAAGTTCTATTGTACATAGTAAATATTTGGAAAATTAATAATAAAAAAAATTGTTCTTTTGGACCTATATTAATAGAGAATAGAAAGAACAACTATTCAACTACAACATCTATTGAGTAGAGGTGTATATTTTGTTTATTCCTACTATATCATTGGTAAGAAATTGCTAGCTCGTTTATTGAAACTGCAATATTTAGTTTGTACAAAGTGGGTTGGGTCAAAATTTGGGCCAATCTAATCTAATCTAAATTTGTATTGGTTAACACGCATCATATAATGAGTTATATATCGGGTCAAGATCCATTTCAATTTAATTTTTTATTAAACTTAATTGTTTTACTATTTCTTTTAAACTATTTTCATACCTAATAAAATTATTTTTTTCTTTATTATGGATATATACAGGAACCCATATATATATATAGCATATCAAATTTTAAAAAATAGTGTTTTTAAAAATATTTTGACAAGATTTCTCATGAGCTAATTCGAGTTATATATCAACCCAATTTTGATGGGTTGAAATGAATTGAGCTAATGAATAGGGAGATTAATAACCTGTCCAAACTTAATCGAATTAGACAAATTTAGTGGATTGAGTTTGATTTTACTACCCTACCTATGCATCTATGTATATTTAGATCGTTTCATTGCAAAAGTTTGATGACTTTATTTAGTTATGTTATTTAGCGATAAAAGGAAATTTCTTTAATTTGCATACATTCATTCATTTAAATTGTTGGGTTTATCTATTTGTGGAGTCCTTCCATGTTAACTAAATAAATTAAAACTAAATGTTATAACTATAAAATATCAGAGAGTTGTATTAGTTTACATGGTGTTTTGTGCAATTTTGCTCACCCATTCTTGCTCTCATTTTCCATTTGCTGGCACGTCTTATGTGCCTATTATTTAGCTTATTATCAATAGAAAATGATCAAAATATCTTAAACTATATGAAATAGAATAAAATGTCATTCGTTTATTATTTGGTTTTAAAATATCTTTATTATTACTTTAGCTGAAAAATGTTTTTTTTTCTAATAAATAAATTGTTCTTATCTTTTAAAAATAAATTATTTTCCTAGTAAAAATATTATGATCCTGTAGACATTGAAATTTTGCAGACTGTACAAGATGTGTTCAATTCGAATTGGGACTCTAGATTGTGTGTTCAGTTTCAATTAGAATATTTGGAGGCTACTCAACCCTAAACCCTAGTTTATGATTATATAAAGGGTACTAAATTCCCTTAAAAGACATCTCAAAATATCTCATAAACTCTTGGGTAATTGTAAAGATCAAGATCAGGAATATTCCGCAAATTGATGGAGTATTCATATAGGTCAAATCTAAATAATCCTAGTTCGAGAAATACGCCACTAACGGCCCTCGAATCATGGATAAATCTTAGGAGGGTAGAATCAAGGGAGGAACAGAATTGTACCTGCATTTTTATCAATAAAGTTATGTTTCTTCATATTTTATTTGTGTGGTTTATTTATTTTTCATATGTTTAAAATTTGTTGCAAACAAATTGGCACGCCCAATGGGACCAAATCTGCCCTTCCTCTCTTAAATCAAATCTAAAAATCTGAAGCTAGAAAGGTGGAAGAATGAGTACTTTAAGCCTCGTCTTTGAGTTTCATCGAGTCTACACTCCGACAAGCCTTAAAGCGGGGGCATTTGTAGACATTGAAATTTTGCGGACTGTACAAGACGTGTTCAATTCGAATTGGGACTCTGAAAGTTGTGTTCAGTTTCAATTAGAATTCTTAGAGGCTACTCAACCCTAAACCCTAGTTTATGCCTATATAAAGGGTACTAAATTCTCT